CCCCCCCCACTTTTTTTTCCAAATTTTTTTTTTTTTTTTTAAATAATTGAATGGATACTCAATTCCATAGAAAAGTTGATTCTATGTCACATCGCGCAATGCATAGCTACAAAGAAATTAAAGTGCAGATGCACCAGCATGGAAACTTTCGTGCATCACTCTCTATTGAGGTCAGCAGGTATGTGCTGTCAGGCAACCCCATGCACAGTGACCACAGTACACTGATATGTGTGCACATCTCCATTGACGACACCCCTACAGTAAAAGTACAGATTTTGCGTAGACAACATTTGACTTTTGACGTGTAAGTTTTACTTCCTTATTGTTTTCAAGTACAATACCTGAATTAATCATCATTGTGTAATGTACAAGATATACTGTATGAAATTGTATAATCCTGTTGTCTCTAATTGACATGGAACAAAATAGGCCTACCTATACCTAGGGCCTAGGCTTATTTCCAGTAGCGGATTGGGGGGGGGGCGTAAAAAAAAATACACCCACAGTGTTTAAGTCTTCTTTTCCTACCAAAAAACACCCTAGGAGAGTGCTATTAATAAATCCACTTGGTGAGAAGAGCGAGAACGGAGGGATGTTCGAAAAACTTGTTTTGAGGTAAATGGTCTTTCAATGTGTGAAATTCCTCAATTACAGCTTTGAACAACTGGTAAATACGGGGATTGTAGTCAAATATGAGGGGGATCCGTGTAGTTTTAGATTTTGGCTTTGTATTCGAGAAGGCTGAGTCGTGATTTGCATGATGCTTTCTCAATGTTGATGAAAAATATAGGGTAGTTATTTGGCTTAACTTGCATATGAGAGTGCTGATGTGTTTATTATATTCTGTGTCAGTAGTGCATATACGTTTGATTCGCAGTGCTTGGCTATATACAAAAGATTGTTTGATGCTAGTTGGGTGATCGCTGCTAAAGACTATATTACGAATGTTCGTTGGTTGTGTACAAAGTAGTAGTGATCTGGTGATCAGATATACAAATCAGGGTGTCGAGGAATGGAATTTGACTGATTGTTCGGACGTCGGAAATTAATACTTTTGTGTGCATTGTTAAAACCGAATATAAAACGTTTAAGAAAATCTTCTCCATCAGGCCAGATAAAAATCACATCATCGTTATATCGAGCAAAAAATAGTGGTTTTCAGTTCTGAAGGTGAAATAAACTCATCCTCGAGCCTGGCCATGAACAACTGAATTGGGCCGTGTGATTTTATCCAAGTTAAGACTATTCATAGCATTTACAAAGGATGAAGGTATACCGGGTGGCTCCTTCCAAATTAAAATGAAATCGCCAACAATAAATACACCATCAACCATACATAATTTAGGTTCGATAGAACACATAAAGTCATCATTGAAACTGTTAAAATAAGATATGTTCATGCCTGGATAGCAGTAACAAGCAACGAAAAGAAGCTTGCCACGAATTCCAGTTATCGAGAAACATAAGACCTCATAACGTTTTGAGGAGTCAATGTTCACATGAACTGGAGTTTGGTAGTCTTTGACAGCAACAACCCCCCCCCCGCCGGTCTTCTTGCCTCTACCTGTATGCCTGTCATTGCGAATAACCTGGTAATCGTCTGGTATTCCAAGTTGACATGTTAGATACTCAGTACTTAGCCATGTTTCAGTTATGATAACTTCATTAGGGTCGTGAGCAGCAAGATGAAATACTAAATGATTGGACTTGTATTTCTTGCATCGAATGTCAGAGTGGAAATTAAATTAATTAAAATTACGAGAAGATGCAGATAAGATCATGGAATCAGATACATTATTATTAGCACCAGATAAATGGAAAAAAAATTAATCATTTAACTGCGGCATACATCAGGCAAAACCTTGCCAATCATGAGAAGTATTCTTATAATGTTTCCTGGAATATATGGGACTCATATAACAAGCATTCAATGCATTGACGTTTTTGGTGATTCTTCTTTATCCTGACAAGACACGCATTTCAAATTGTTTTTTGCCCTCTGAAAGGTCATTGTTTTTTCAAAAAACAAGGGCCTAAGACGACTGAAAAGCGGAGTAAGTTCCTCCTTTCATTCTGCCGGGTAAAATCAATTACTTTAGGCGACGTTTGTAGACTAACCAACACGTACCAACGTCCGCATGTCGCGCTAGCCTTATCCTACTCTAGGCCTAGACTAGCTAAGATGGTATAGCCTATAGGCCTAGCCTTCAATGGACGAAGGTCCCAATGAAAAACAACGTCGCTCCTTGATAGCTAACATTGTCTATTTAACATCACAATAATTCATTATTAGACCTATAGTTGTTTTTTGAATAATTGTACTCCACAAATCTCAGCCGATACCTCGCACAACTGGAGTAACGTCTCGTATCTATTGTCGTGACGTCATGGCTCGCTGGCTCACACTTGCGATGTCTCGCACTTGTGATCAAATAACACGCTGGCTCGCACTTTGGCAACACTCTTTGGCAGTCAACTCGCCCCTAGAAAGCCCGCCCTTGGAAACTTGCCCCATAAAAAATGTACACTTCCTAGACCATGCAGTCTTCAAAATAAAAATTGTAACCTTTGGTAATCAACTACATTTTCCACATACATAGAAATTTTTGAAACTTTATTTTAAAAACCTAAACCATAATTCACCACTATAGACACTTTTTGACAAAAATGAAAAATTACGACTTTGTTACCAATGAGAAGTGCTCTAATATAGACAATGGGTCGTGTCTCATATTATTTGTTATATTTTTATTATTCATTATTTTCACTTGACTCGCATAAATAATTTTGTTCGAAGAACATTTATATGTAGTTGTACTCCGCAGCACTTCACTTGCAATTTGGAATTTCTAGTTGTATGACTAGTTGGTGCCCTTTTCTTGTTATTTTGGGTTTTTTTTTACACAATCGCCTCTGTGAAACAGTTTGACTGGGTCCGGGATTAGTTTCAATATCGCCGTCACGTAATATTTTGAATTGAAATGAATTGACGTGATTGGAATGATAAAGTGTTCTCGAAACAAAACATTTCTTTTTGTATTTCGGGTTATTTGTGTGCCACATTATGCATATTCAAGTGAAATTCAGCAAGGTCGGAAACGTAAAATCTGTCGTAAAAATCTTCACATTCCAGTTCCAGAGTTCCTCCAGTGAGCTTCAGTTTACCTCGTGTATTGACATTAAAATATTCACCATCATTTACCTTTTTAAAATGTTCAATAGATATAAAACAGTAGCAGTAAAAACATCATTCTCGTAGAGTGAATCTGGTACCGGTACATTCCAACAGATTTCAATGATGATGACGATGGTGGTGTACTTGTTATGCTCGTGTGGTCACAGTGTGCAAACATGCAAAAAACATTCCAGTAGAAATAAAAGTAGAAAAAGGAAAAGCACATGCTAATGAAGTGTAAAACAATTCAACCTGCGTGGTATAAATGTAATGCATTGATTCTTTATAGTGTTTTCCCACTGAGAAATCGTCCAAGAAAGGTCCAAGTTGGTTGAACAATACTGGAACAAAAAACAGACTTGTTAATGAACTTGTTTCTTTATTTACCTTTTGCATTTACAAATCAAACTTTTTATTTAAAACAGCAAAGATGAAAATCGAGAAACAAAATATATTTGAAACTTATTTAAGTTAGAACGTAAACACCTAATTACAATTGAATACACAAGTACTATTTTACTGGTGACTGCAATACTTGTATTTTGCAATATATTAATATAGTTTTAAGTACTCAACTTAAAGCGATAAATTTATAAGCAAGAATGTATTTTATTAGACTAGCTTTTAATATTTAGCTAAATTATGTGAACATTTTAACTTTTAAGTATATAGATTATTCTTAATATTTTATTTTAAAAGTCCGTCCTTAACTATTGGGTTTTATGTTATCATTATAAAATTATTGCTGCCATTATTTTTATCATTATATTGTACCGTAAAATTTAAATGCAAAGTAGACAAACCTTTGTTTGAAATATAATGTGGGTGTGAATCCCACAATAGAGAGAAAAAAAATCCAGTAAAAATCACATAAAAATATGACGTATGTATTTGATCTTGGATAAAATATTACAATATATAAACTCTGATTATTAAAAGTAGAATTGAACTAGGCTAAGGGAATGCTCTTGTGCCTCCACTTGCGTAACCGGCGTGGTTTCAATTTTCAGGAGAGAATAAGTATAAGGCCTGGGAATACGTCCGCACTGATTCATGCATTATTAACACTGTAGTACAGTTTTAATTATGACATTGTTTTATGATAATTTGATTCATATATAAACTTTATTCACGAAAAAAAACAAAACAATATACACTCGTTCAATCAAGAGATTCTTGAAAACACTAATAAAAATTTGCTTAAAAGTTAATAATCATTTAAAGCATTCCTTTATTGTTTTTTTGAAAACTCTAATTGAAATTGGCAGAATTTTAATATTTATATTGAGGGTATTCCATATGGTCGGTCCTCGATATGATAAACTTCGTTTTTTTTTAAGCCTGTGTGTGGTAGAGGAATTAACAGGTTTGTTTCGCTATGTCTAAAGTTATAAAAAAATATAGTACGTAAACAAATTATTTAAATATGGTGGAGCATGAACCTTAATTACTCTATAAATGATTAAACAACATTCAACTGAAATTGCCTTCTGTGATGCCTCATTACTTGGTGTGTCCCCTTTTAGACCACACACAATTCGGGGAGTTCTCTGTATCCTTTTTAGGTAAGTTTGACTACAGTTTCCCCAGACTACATATGAATATAGTCTTTGAAATCTGGGGAAACTGTAGTCAAACTTACCTAAAAAGGATATAGTTTCACTACAGTTTCCCCAGACTACATTCATGTCATGAAACTGTAGTCAAACTAACCTTTGGGGCTTTTACTGCATTGTGGACCTATCACTTTTGAAATTCCCGTCCCTTTGTGCTACACTGCGTTGCTTTGTTCCCTCTGGGGTGTGCCTGTTATTATAGTCCTTAAGGCAGTGATTTGTTAGTATTTTGTTTCTATTTTATCCTACTGTTATTGGTTTATTATATGATATTGTTTATATACCCATATTGCTATATATGAACCTGTTTCATGTTACAGCTCTATGTACCTGATGATGGGCTTTCCCGAAACATGTCGTATAAATACATCTCACTGAGGCAGATGTATGTGTGTGTTTTTAGATTACACATTTTATTATCTACGTTTACAATAACCATATAAGGGCATACTTGAAAGTCCATGCATACTGTAAACAAATCAAATATAAACGGATATTCAAGTTTGTTTAAATATTTTATCAATGGCAATTAAAGTGTGTATTTTAATCATTAGTCGAGAGTAGGCCTACGTATGCATAACTGTTAAAAGGGACAATATGAAATTTCAGTCTACTTTTAAGCTTCTTCTTGGAGTGTTAATTGTATCACCGGTAGCTTCGTTCTATCCAAACCGTCTTGGTTTGGTACAGTTAACAAAAAATGACCATACTTTAGAAGATATAACCGAGAGTGGTATTCTACTAGCTGTTGCCAAGTACTTTGAATCTATTCCTCTACCTGATAGACCGACACTGAACCCAGGAGATCTCACGGAACTAGAACCACTAACCGCTTCAACTCTGTATAGCGCATATTATGGAGGTAATAAAAATTGTCAGTATTTCAGAATCAGGCGATTATTTTTATTATTTCTATTGCCCTATCAAAAAATGGCGGCTACACCCCCTTTTCCTCCAGTTTTTAAATATTCAAAAATCTGTATGTCACTCACCCTTCCCAGTTTTTCGTCAAACAACTTTTTATGTCTTAGAAAATATAGTTCTACAACATATCAAAACATTTTTTTTTCACATGTAAACATATTTGTTTGTCCTAATGTTCCAACAAGTAATATTACTACTACTGAGTTTTGCATAATAATTAATTGACTGGAAATAAAATGAAGTAACGTCTGCAAATTGGCGTAGAGTGAATTATTTCGCACTGTGAATAATAGATTGTTAATACCTGTAAATTAAAATTTGTTTAAAACGGTGTAAGGGCTTTCGAGACTAATATACACCTTTAACGGCTGTGAGATATTGTAAACAGTAGTGTATCATAACAGTCTGGTCTCTACACCACAGTCCCTTACCTATGTTCACACAGGCACCCGCTGCGTTTTGGTAGTGAACTCAGGTAAAGAGGTGTACAATAATCCGTTGCATATCAACCTAGAATATTCACAAAAGGCGACATTGGTTTGGCCAGCAACATAATGACGAACAAAACAAGGACCTTGAATAATAAATTTACATGGCAAAGCCAACATTATTCACAGCATTCTTTAAGATATAAACATGGTCCTAAATTGTGTGCGTGGGATTGTAATAAATCGTCTATGTGTTTGAACAAATCGATTAAATTTTTAATCACCCTTTTCTAAAAACATCAAGGTTGAACACGTTTGAAATCATTAAACAAAAATCCATAAACATTTGCGCAACACAGATACTCCAGATTGATATTGGTTTTTGTTTCAAGGCTGTTATCGGGCGAAAGCATCATATGATATTTGTATCATTCTGTTTCCCAGTACAGAATTAGAGAAGGGTGGTAACCATAATATCCCCCAGTCCAGTCTGAGTTATCAAAATGCGGGTGGTAGTACCTAATAGCCCCCAGTCCACTCTGGGTTATCAACATGCGGGTGGCAGTACTTCATAGCCCCCAGACGCTGCCTGTGTTTCCAACAGTTGGTATATAATAATTAATTAATTATTTTGACATTTGTTTTGTTTTATGTTCTGTGTTAATATGTATCTAGTATACCACCACAAATTCCATTATTTTTATAAAGACTGAATTGAATTAAATCACATGCCCTTCAAATACAATTCAAAATGTAGGCCTATGTAAAAATATATTGCGCTATATTAATGTCTCAGAGAACGCCGATACCTTCTTGTTTATCATAAGTTAATAAATTAGATAGCATTGACTGTCTCTCAAAAAACCTGATGACCTCTAAATACAAAGTACAAACATTGAATGAAATATCAATAACGAACTAAAGATTGGCATTTATCGATTACCAAGTCAATCAAACCAAGTCATAGTGTGCCTTTTTTAGAGTTTTAATTGTAAGTTAAAAACTTAATAAAGTAAACGAAATTAATTGAAATCTTCTTTTTAGCTCATTATAGATAGTATGTTTTTAAGAATGTGTAAGATCATCATAGATTTTATTATAACCTATATTGATGTAGCCTTGCTGCCAGAGGGAATAAATGTTCTTCCCTTTTTAAGTTATGTATATTATAAGTGATTCCACTATCAATATTGCTGGCAGCATGCAGCTGTTACACTCCCTGATTGTATTCGAACCCTTAGTGAAACTGGATTTAGAGCCAGGCTCCGAAAGAAAAAAAAACATGACAGGGTGTTTGACAATAAACTCAGGATAATCACCAATTCAAAATTTTCAAAAATATGGCATTTTACAGTTCATAGGTGACCATACGCAATATAAAATTTATTTAGTTATTGTTTTTCTCGTGTTTTGAGGATAAATAAAGTTAAAGTTTAATTTTGAAGAATACATTGTGATAAATTATTGGTTGTGTTTCGAGGGTCTAGAGGCTAGGCTTCATCATTGGAACCATGATCTACTGCAGTAGATATTTCAGATAAAACAATTTGGAGCCGTAGTTGTAGCTAGCTTCAAGCTAGCGAGGGCTTTTGTCTCAATAAATTTCGTTACTCTAAAGAAGGTGCTGGGAAGATGTACAATATTTCATTTGTAGTAGACATTGTTTTCATAATTTCATGCTTTATGTTGTGAAATCGTGTGTCTAAGCTTTAAGTTGCAATCCATACCTGATGACGTTACTTGTTTTCTTGGGAAAAAACACTTTATATCCGTTTGTCTGTCTTCACCTGGTCGTTAGTGACTAAGTAGAATTATAAGACTTGGAGTGCTAATACAGGCACTTAAGTAGGCCTAGTATTATTGTGCATTATATGTTTTCCTGTCATAACTGAGCACTCGTGTTAGCTAAATTACAATAGAAAAAATATATAAAAATACCTATATAATTGATTAAATAATATTCTTTTACTTCTAATCTACATATTTAGATCTACGTCCATATCGAATGTTCTTGACGGTCTAAATACCATTTCAATAGTTTTCATTGACAATTTAATATAAACAATAATTAATTTAATATTCTGCTTCTAAAACTCGGATTGGCATGCTTACATAAAATTATGTCATACTTTCACAGATTTATTGCACATGAGTATGCCTATATAAAATGCATATGAGCTATATCTGTTAATATAGCAGGTACCTCATTTAGCCTAATCATTTATATCACCACGATAAATGTTTATAAATGATTGTTTGTATTTAATACATCCTGTAGGCCTACATGTTTTACAATGTTAATGATCTTATTTGATAAAATTGGTAATTATCTAACCACTGTGAACAATCGATGTTTAACAAAAACATTTTATCTCTTTTTTTAGTAGGGAAGGTTTCACCAAAAAAGTTCGAAACAGCAATAAAAGAAATAGTTTTAGAAAACATTCGTATTTCCAACAAGAAATCTGAAAAGGCATATTGGCATATGAATGGAGAGGCAATGAAAAAAGGTGAGGATAAATTAATGCCTAATAAACAATGTAGCCAAAAACAAAAACAAAAACAAAAACAAAACAAAAAAACATAATATTACGATAAATAAAAAATCAAAGAATATTGGGCTTTCTTAAAACGCTAGCGTTTTAGCTATAAATCATAATCCGATCAATTATCATAGATAATAATGTTCCCCTTTCTTTACAAGCAGCCTCATAACTATGGTTTACGAGGGCCTATAAAACGTCTTATGAGTTTACATTGTTATTTTTTCTTTTAACAACAGGAAATAAAAAGATTAAAAATCTGCGTACTTCCATGAACAGCGTATTGAATGATACGATACCAGATTACAGTGTCGCTAGGATGTGGATTGGACGAATCCTGCACATTATGCAAATGTTCTACAGTAATACAGATTGGCTTGAGATGCAAGTTTACGAACATTATCTTATAACTAAATTAATTAAACCAGAAGTGGTGAATACGTATGCTGACTTAGGTTTGTACTATCATATTTTTTAGCTAGAGTTCAATGAAAAATACATTTTCGCATAGAAAATCAAGAACCCATGAAAAAGGAAGTTGGTTATCTTCAATGATTATGTAGGCTGTCGTTTGTCTTATAGCAAATAAACTGCGTTCTGCTTCTCCCGTAACACAACTTAAAAAGTTGTGCAACATGTTCAGATATTTGGCCGGTAAAATAACAGTTAAAAAAATTCCCAAGGTAAAAGCTGGAACACATACTGGAACACTTTGCGCCGTGATTTCCATTTGTCGTAACAACGTCACCGTGGCTAAATTGTTATTGGTTGATCCCTAAGTCTATAATCAATGTTCCAAATAAGGCATTTTATATCTTTCAGGTATTAATGGTAAGCCGTTTTTAGCGGTTGCGAACCCAGGACAGGAGACATGCTTAAATTGTAAAACCGGGTATGGAATTATGATATAATTAGTCATACCTTAAATTGTTTTAATAGTATAACGTATATAATGTATAGTATAATATATGCATTTCTTAAAGGTTAAAGAAGAAGAATCTACTATAAAATATTGCCCCAAATGGAATTCAACCTTATTTTCTGCTACGTATGCAGACGGATTATTAACTTGCGTTTCAGCGGCCTATTTGGAATTTTGATCCCGATTAGAAGCAACTGATTTTACACATTTCTTTTGCAATGTGAAACAATGCTAGTCAACACACTGCGAATAACAGAGATCAATAAACAATGTGTGTCTCTTAAACACTGAACCTTGTGCAATAATGTATGGTGCTACCATTATGTTTATATTTTTTGTTACTGTATGTTTGTATGTAGGAAAATAAAATTTCGTTGCCAATTTGTTTAACTTGTTGATGACAATAGTTGTTTTCTGATTCTACTTCTGATACTCCCTCATGTGCATTCTTAAACCTTTTCTTTGAGGGAAATCTTCAAAACTACTATATATAGGCCTCTAGGCCTATTGAATTAATAATATTAATAGATTCGTGATGCTAATGTTTTTTACAATAGGTTCTTACGTTAAATTTTGAATATCTAGGGTTGGGGAATACGAATGTTTCTATAACCGGCACAAAGCCATCAAGGGTACTCGGTATACAAGCGGTTATCTTAGTGGTCAAGATGTTATAAAACCCGAAGGTTAGTTTTTTAAATATTTTACAAACCCAATTGCTACAGACCCCATATAAATACGTGTTACCCTGCAAGTATTATAAAGATAGTTTCAAATACATAACATGTTTATATTGCGTTTTAAAATGGATCTGTCCTTGAAACAATTTTCTCTTGTAGAAGCAGGGAAGTGTTCGCATGGTGGGACTTTTGACGAGACACGACACACAGAAGCAACTGGAGGAATTAACAAACAGACAACCGACCCGTTCCTATCACCCCATTATTATTACCACAAAGATGCTGCAAGGTTAGCATTTGAGGCAACCATGGACTATTTTGTTCATCCTGGTATGTTATTTTCATAATGATTATAATAATATTGATTACGATGATGATAATTTTTGTCTTGCGAAGGATTCACTGGTTAGAACCTTAGCCTTCGGTCTAACCAATCAGAAAAAACAACAACAACAGCAACAACGACAACAACAACAACAACAACAACAACAATAATAATAATAATAGCAAATATATATATTTGCAATAGCAATAGCAAATATAATATTAATAATAATAATAATAATAATAATAACAAGCTCTGTGGTCTAGAGGTATGATGCCAGGCTAGTGATCTGGAGATCGTGGGTTTGAGTCCCACCCGAGAGCAACTTGCGATTTTTTCGCAATTGTTTTCAAATGTACTGAGCATTCACTGTACATTTCCACGTCAGGTAGGGCAAAATTACACCTATACATGTTTCTCCTGACGCAAATGCAGTTATTGTCTATTACATCACGACAATAACAATTACTATCAACACTGCAGTACCCTCTACTTACTTGGACTCGAATTCAACCCTGACCATCAGGCGCAAGCTCGGTGGTCTAGAGGTATGATGCCAGGCTAGTGATCTGGAGATCGTTGGTTCGAGTCCCACCCGAGAACAACTTGCGATGTTTTTTCGCAATTTTTTTCAAACGTACTGAGTATTCAGTACATTTTCACGTCAGGTAGGGCAAAATTACACCTATACAATAATAATAATAATATAATAATAATAATAATAATAATAATAATAATTATAATAATAACAAACTTAACTACTAAATATGACAATACAAACAAATGTAAAACTACTAAATCATTACAATATCAATGCAACTTAAAAAGCCCAAATTTTATCTGTTGTGCTTATGAGTATTTTAAATAGTTCAGTTAAGTTGATATTGTCTTTAGATTGTATAGGCCTAAGTCTTTTTTTGTTATACTGGCAACGCGCTATATAGAACAGATTTCTTATGTTCCGGTAATTATACGTTATAATATGATTATTTAGTTTTATGGGTTCATAATTTTTCCTTTATATTTGAACATTATTTCTATATGATGTTGCATCTTTTAGCAAGAGTCGTGAGTTCAACACGAAATCCAATCATGTGACCACATTAACAAAACCCTGCCTGAAGAAAACTATTATTTCAATCCTTTTTCAGATTATGGAATTTTGAACACAACTGGAGAAGTTGATTTCCGAAGTATTTTAAACCTTGGAACGGGTGCTACTCTTGCAATGGTTATCGATGACACTGGAAGTATGTCTGAAGAGCGAGCATCTGTTATTGCCGAATGCATTGCCATTGTTAATAAAACAGCTGGCACAGTAGATGCTCCTTACAACTACGTCGTAGTCACGTTTAACGATCCACGTAAGACCATTTTTAGTATTTTTGAAATACAGTATTAAGTAAACATTTCCAGCAGAATACGTTCCATGTAACAAGCAAAAAGTTTCTTTCAAATGTAAATGCTCTTTAAGTTAGTATGATGTATCTTATATACAGTACAACCCTGTTCTTTGGGACACTCCTATTTAGAACACTATTAAAAGAACATTTTTCTGTCAGAATACTCTTTAAAGAACGCTTTTCTGTGAAACGAGGGGAAATATATTTTTAACATTACCCCTATTCCACTTTCTGAGTGTGCTAAATGGTCAAATAACTTAGTCTATTTTCATTGTATCTTAAGTCACAAAATAAAAAATAGTTCATTCAACTTTATATTTTGATACCTTTTGAGCAATACACTAGAATATTCTCTCCAAAATCCTTAAAGTGAACATCAGTATAGATCTACTGCATATTATTTCGTAAACCAATCTTGTCAATTTTGACCCTTAACCATGGGGATTTCTTTTTCTTTGTTTTTCGTGTACTTTCATAGTACTCTAATCCATGCCAATTTTCTACTGTAACACCCCTATTAAGAGGACACTTTTTGTCACAAAGATGTCTCCTTAATAAGGGTTCTACTGTATTTCATATTATGCTGTTTGAAATCCAAAGGTGTATGCCATTTGGAGAGTGAAGTTAAGTATCCCAATGTCAACTGTAACGTCTGTCTGATAGATTTCTCTAAAAAATGTAGGCCTATTATTATTTTCACACACACCTTATACACATAAGCACACATAATATACATATATATTTGTATATATATATATATATGTATGTATATATATATACATACACACATACACACACACACACACACATATATATATATATATATATATATATATACAGTATATATACAAATATATATTGATTTTTATTTTGATTGGCCAGATGCTGCTGTTTTACCATTCACAATTGTAATGTCACCCTGACCAGCCATTGATTTATGCCAATTAGGGCCAAATAAACTATTGCTGCAGATAAGACCATGTCATATATTTCTTTTAGTCGTGGTGCTTAGTAGCCTATTGTATTAGATATGTACAGTCAAGTTTCTCATAGATGCTCAAGCGCTGACGAAGGTAACAGGAATATTTCGCAAAGAAAAATATTTTTTTACAAAACATAAAAAATACGAACATTCTAATTCCTGTCTCTTATACACATCTAGATGTGTATAAGAGACAGTATATATATATATATATATTTGATATGGTGTCACCGTTAATGGATCGGTGGGTTGGCTGTGTATTTAAAAACATCACACCTATTTTCTTTTTGAAATATAAACCAACATTCTTTGTGCGTAAAGGGAAAGTTTATCAACCTTCACTTGGATGTTAGTTTATGAACGTGAGAGACAGCGAACTTCCATCTGTGCCAACAGATTCCACTGGATACCTCGATGGCGATCTGCTGTTGTTTGACGCATCACCTAGTCGACGGTAACATGGAACAAGATAGAAGTGAATAAATCCTTGACTACTTCAGATTTAACTTCAGTCTATTCTGTGAAAGTGTTGTTTTGATTAATACAGCATTGAGATTGTTTATAAAGTTTCTTGATAAGGATGCATTACGTACATACATACATATAAACAAGTTTTTCGGGCTTTTAAAGTCACTGAAAGTTATGTATAAGTCAGCATTCCATTCAATGCGTTACTCTATAATGTTGCGAAGAGCAATGGTCGATACAACTAGGCCCTACTGCTTTTTTCGGATTAAGGAATTTCAGAAGATCTTGCCAGTATTAGTAACAGAGATATCCTCTCAAACTCTGGCAGTTGCTGATGTCAACTTTTGTTAGTATAGTTTGCAGATCAGTCCAGACGTGTGTGAGCATAGGTGTACATTGTATTTGTAATTGGTCATACGATATTAATACTAAAATAGTAAAAAAAATCAGAAATGCTGATATTGCATTTTTATGTTTTATTAGTTTATGGTCCAGCATTCGTTACCAGAGACCCAGATGAATGCATTGAATACCTAAAGAATATTTATGTAAGCGGTGGAGGCGACTGTCCCGAAATGTGTTTGTCTGGAATTGAGCTTGCATTGACAAATTGGTAAAGTACAGTCTTACATTACAGAAAAATGTAGTGAAACGATCTTTTTTTGCTTTCGGAGTATATAAACAATTCTAGCAAACCGTTTCTTGGTAAATTTACAAAAAAAAAAAAAAATAATAAACACAATAACACAAATTAATACTCAAGGGTACCGCCTTCCAGAAATTTCCAAAATATATAAACTCAAAAAATGAAATATTAGTTGGCAATAATATTATTAGTAACTTTTAACATAAACACATAATATAGAAGAGAAATTAGAGCACAATTATCATAGACAACAGTGAAACTCTATTAGAAACCATTAGCAAGATCATTGTTGTCCTAGGTAAATAATCTTTAAAAACTCAATTATTAATGCGTGCTAGATTTGATATAACATTATTTAGGTTTATCAATTTTTAAAATTTAAACTGTGCTTTAAATGAGCACATCTGTGCTATTGTGCAGTTGGAACTTCGAGTTCTTCAACTTCATTATATTGATTACTGTCTTGCACATTTAAGGTTATGCACCGTATGTGCATTAAACAAAATTACTTAACATTGATATCAATTATGTTAAGCCTTCGTAATTCTGACGTATACGTGTTCACGGACGCTGACCCTAAAGATGAATCCAAAATGTTGAACGTGGTTGCATTGGCGAAACAGACTAATTCACGTATACAGTTCATCTTAACAGGAGAATGTCCTACTGCAAAACGGCGTCGAGATATTGACCAGGGTATGTATCATTTTGTATTAAAATCGTTTGTAATTTGCCAAAAGAATTTAAATGTGATACGTAAACCACAGACTTATGAATAAATATAAATGAATCATCTTCATGATAGGGGGCGCAATACAGTGATTGTGTGTGATCCTATTTGACCCGGATATTCACTGTATTTTTCGATTTTATTTTTTTATTTTTAGGAATTATTAATTTCTAACAATGCTGAAACAATGAATTTAAAGCATTTTATTAAATATTAGTATAACATGACTTAATTATTATTTGTCTCAGCACTACTTGTAAACTAGGCTTACGACATCCATGTAAAACGTGAATATTGGTCTGGCTCTTCTATGTTGAAGAACGAATAATAAAACAGAATAATTATTGGCTGGGGCTAAGGGGGGTCGCCAAGGGCCCCGTTGGGGGCCCAGGGGACGAAGCCCATGGAAGCCCCTGAATAAAAATTTTATTAGATATTTTAGGCATCAAGCTACTGTAATATGACATTATAATTGTTGTAATTTCCGAACAAAGTTGAAGTTGAGATTGTTTCTACGATCACAATAAAATGTATCATGAGGAGTATCTTTGATATGATATTCCCCTACAAAACCTTCTCTTCTCCCCCGATGGATAAAAATTACCCTGATAGGACACCAGAAATGGTACTTCAAAAGTGGCGTGTACAAGAATTAGAAAAAAGAGGGGTCCAGAGAGGGACTTCAATGATCTGAGTGTCTACCCACCTCAGCTCCATGGTTGGGGCTGAGATAAAAACAAAATATGATTATGGCACCCTAGATGGCCGGAAATGGCACACTAAGATTTAAATTTGAATACAATTTTGTCTGTTTTCTGCACTTTTTTATATATAATTTTGATAGAATTAGGAGGGTGGGCCCGTACCGACTGGGCTCTCCCGTAAATCCGCCATTGTTTAATATAACATTGACATAGCCTATCATTTTTTTTCACAATGACTAATTCCTAAAGTCAAGCGAAAGATTTTTTTATTTAATCTTTTACAACGTAGGCCTATAAATGGCCTAATTAAGTATCTTGTTTTTGTTAAATTAGGTTTTAGAAATTAGAATTTAAGTGTGGTTATATTAGGCTAGTTTGATGGTTTAGTGTAAGCCAGTCAGTTACACCTGGTTACACTTAAACATAAAGAGAACTAGAGCATCGCTTCATAAAGAGTGCCTACATCTACCCTGTGCCTAAATACAGAATTCAAGCAAGGCGGCCGATTCCATTCTTTTCTTCATGCTTCACATGATTACAGACGTCAATCAACATGGTGGCTCAACTCAAAAAGGGAACATGTAATGCTCCTTTATAAATAAATCTATATTGTATAATAATAATAATAATAATAATAATAATAATACATAGGTCGATTTAAAAGGCGCAAATAGACAAGTAAAGGTCTCTAAGCACCAAATAATAATAATAATGATAATAATAATAATAATAATAATAATAATAATAATAATAATAATAATAATAATAATAATAATAATAGTAATAATAATAATAATAATGACATTGCATAGCGTTCGTTAAATGAATAGTCACAAAATAACAAATATTATAGTCACGTAACATCAGTCTGTTACCGGTATATCACATCCAGTCTGTTTTATTATATTATTGTTAACTTAACAACATATTTCAAAGTAAACATCAAAATATTTGGTTGGTAAAAATTATGAATCTTAATAATATTAGACACTCATATTTTGACTTGCAAGTTGTAAAATTCTTGTGAAGCCAAGTGTTAAATACAACTGTCACGTATCTCTTATAGGCTAAATTGTGTTTTTTAAATATTTATTACAGAAAGTAGTACTTTTGCATTTAAACAGTATTTCATAGGCCATGAGTTGAATTTCCTTGTTGATTTGATATTTATGTGATGGTTAGACGCGTCCACGCATCATACGTAGTAATACAGCTGTGTCCGACAATGGACCTACTATGAATAAAGAAAATATATTTTGGGCAAACTGAACGAATACAATTGATTAAAAAGCGGCTCTTTTAGTTATAATCAAACTTAGATGGGCATAGGCCTTAACAAAGGGTCCAGTGAGCACAATGTTTTTTTAATGAGTACCTTAAATTAGTTGCATGATTATGCAAGTATTACTTTTAATCACGTAACGTTAGAGCCTTCATTCAGTATTTTAAAGGTATATCAACATTCAGTCGGTTATATTATTATCGTGAACTTAACAAATATGTCAAAGTAAACATAAAAGAAGGTGATTTATGTTATGTAACTTGTTTATTTTCTTTTGTATGTATTTTCTTATGTTAGATATGAATAAAAAAAATTGATTTGTTTTTAGGCCTATGATATATTGCATGACGGATGATGATCTATGATGGATGAATCATTCGCATTAAACTTCGTTTAGGCCTAAGCAGGCAGTGGTGGTGCCAGTAAACCACTGTATGGGCATAATTTGTCCTTAATAAGTCCTAGTTTCACAGCATAGAGCGAAGTTTATTAGCTTACATAATGGAATTTAAGTAAACTAACAGTTATTTAGTAGGTCTATTGTATTAGCAATCTGAATGATTATTAAAAACGATCCGTTGCACGCGCGTCGTGGCGTTGCATTCCTCCTAGAAATCCGTCGGCCAACGACTGTCTGGCACAGTGAGTTTCCTGATTTACTAATCAGCCAATTAGGCCGAGTGCAACGCAACATAGTACAACGCAAACTTATATTTTATGTCATCGGTCAAATAGTATTGGTTTACTGGATTTCTTGAAGAAAAAAAAACGAGTCCTAAAACATTATAATCTTTTACAATATTCAACTGTTTTAAAATGTTTTTAACAGAATAATTTTACTTTGCTTTAATTTCAAAATTAAATACCTGATTAACCAATTAATCAATCCATCAATAAATATACGAATTTATTTCCTATTTCAAAAAACACAAAACAACTAAAAAGTTGGAATCAAATCAATGGATACAAAGACAAGAAAAATGGAAAAGGCTGGCAAAATGTGATCAACTCTAGCTTCTGTAAACGTTGATTTAATCTCATTTAAACATTGAGCCGAAATGTCACATATTTTAATTTGTGTAAATTGTTAATGTTATAAGTTAGGTTTTGAGATTATATACAATGATAAAAAATAATATTGTGACTATTTATTTTACTTCATTTTCTTAGTTAGTTCATTAGCAAGTGGTGGTCCAATGTCCTCATCTTCATATGATATGATAGCGGAGGAAAGCGGAGGTGCTGTTTATCAAGGGAGCAAGAGTGAAATAGGAGAAATGGTGAATCTTTTAGACATAAAAGTTGGCGCGGCCACTGTGTACATTGCTAAAAATTACATCACGAGATTCCAGACTTCGTTATTTGCGATTGACGAAACCCTCAGCACGTTTACCATAACAATTTCATCAGGATCGTCGATCAATGCAATTGTTTATAACCCATTAGGTAAGCCTATTTTTAGTAAAAGAATAAGAGTAAAACTATAGGTATGTTTTTCAGCAGATGCATGTTGATTAACTTGAGAAGTTTGAGAATCAGAATCAGAATAAATATTTAATTTTCGTAAAATCATTACAAAGTCATGAACATATAAATTAACAATTTTACAATTTAGGCTATAATGGTGATTCATATTTTACGACGCACTTTTCCTAGCCAGTCTGAATCCAGCTAGCTATCCCAGACCTGCTCGATAATGGTACGTTCCTGCTTCTTACCAGCTGGCAGAGAAACCTACAACCATATGTTTTAGATCCTTGTGTGCTCTAAATTTTACATTAAGTCAAACAATAACACTCATAACACAACATATTACTTAATGAGTATGTAGAAGGTGGAAATGAAATACCTAAAGGAAATTGGCCAATGAAATACCTAAAGGAAATTGGCCAATTTAAGGCAAAAGATACAACAACAGTACAACGCAGGTTCATTAACAATGTCAGAAGGCTATACCAAAGCTTCGAATTTTGCGCGGGCATAATGCCTAGACAGATTGTTCATTCATAATGAAATTAGTGTTTTTACGGTGAATTTTTTCATTCAATGGGAATATATTTTATATGAGAAGAATCTATGAATATGCAGCTCTAATTTTACAGGGGGGAACAACAAGATATTTGATTGGTAAACAGCCGAAATGGCAATTTAATGCCAACAAAGTCGCTAAAAACAGGTAAAAAGGTAGCCTCTACGCGGTGGGCGGTCAGCATACCACCAATCGAAAAGTGAAAAATGACGGTGACATTTTTCTAGCAATACACTTGAAACAAATACTAAACAATCAGAACGGAATTGCCTTTCAAATACCGAAGGGAACACAAAAATCGACAAGTATTTGCTGAGATTGACTGTGGAAAGACGAAAAATGACCCAAAACGAGCTTATGTC